ACGCCACAACGAGCATTTGCTATATGGAGTACATTCCGTTGAAATGCGGTGCTAAAGCTATGAATGATAGGTTGATATCCTCTTCAGGCGTCATTATGAGAATTATCCTTTAGCGTAAACCGTTCACTATTGTGAAAGACCACTGACAACTACGCAGTCGACGTGCCTTCCGTATATTGTCGATGGGCTTGAGCTGGACTATATTTACTGTTCTACAGTTGTAATACGTATACTGCAGTTGTAGTGTCGTAACGCCTTCAAGCTTATCCTTCTTCGAATGCAATCAAGCTGAGACTACGTAGCTCTACTGGACGAACTAACATTTGCAACATTAATCATATTTATTGGTTTGGAGGTCAGTACTGGATTCTAAAGTATCAAAATATTCACATTGAGCAAGCAATCTCGAAATGTCTTTGCAACTGACTTGCGATTTGCCTGTGAAATCTGTAATCAGGTCGGCCGACTTCATGCCTAAATGATCTTGGAAGCCGAACGGAACTTTCTCTCTCCTCCTCTGGTTACTGCATGCTTTGCGCCTGCTATATGACGCGAGTTCCTCGTGCTTAAAACTAGCACCCCGAATGCTTTGTCATGCGCAAACAGCTGGCGTACTGCTGAAACCTGGGAACATCTTGCATACAGTAGCCCGACTTCTGCACAAAACAGTTTGGTGCCGAAAACCAGGTTTTGCCTTGATAGTTCTTATCCCTCCAGTTAACACTCAACCACTTCTTACACTGGCGACTCACGGTCGACAGTCAATTACCTCTCCACATCAGCACGTTTCATAAGTTCTTCCACGCCTGAGAACAATTTCTCGAGATATAAACGTTATTTTCTATCACGCCAGGATACATCTGTTCACATTCTAATGCACATTAAAAGCTGTTCCCTCTTCCTGGGGGTTGCACAAAGAAGTCTAAAACACTAAGCGCCTACCGGTGCCAGTACGCATTTTTTCCGTTTTCGTCACTTGGATAGAGCCGTCTTTACAAGATCGTCAGCTTTTGAATGACGAAAAACACTCAGTCGAATAGTCACCTATGTTTATCAGTGGTACAATCAAAACGAGTCCAATATATATATATATATATAGGTCGTCTTCTTTTATACAGTTTGGGATTGGTTGGATGTGAATTGCGTTCTGTCAGAGCCGGCCTCTAGCATCTCAGTGAGCATTGTCCAATTAAAAAAGGGAACGTCACGTGTTGAATTCAGAAGGGTACGATTGAGCTGCTTGTTATAGGATTTAGGAAGCACACAGATCATGTAAAGTAGCTATGAGTCGTTGAATGACAATGATTCTAAGTGGACGTTGTAATCGTAGCCCTCTTATTTGTTTCCTCCTGTCAATGTATAAATATACGTGAAGGTTTCTCTGGAAGATCACACAGTTGAGAGTTTGGCTACTGTACTTAATAAACGAAAGTCCGCAGATTTTCATAATTACTAGTCCCAACGTAATAAAGCAGTGAGCATTACGTGGCTTTATATCTGACGAACCACCATGGATTTAATTTATGCGTACTTGCACCTAATCTCCTTATAAATAATGAAACAATGTCACCAATTGTTTCTGGAATTGTTTACTAAACTTCTGGAAGTTAAGTCGTTGAAGTATGCTACTACTTCTCGCCTTATGATTTGACTGAGATTTGCGTCTTCCTACATGATACTAATTCTGCTGTGCATTTTTGTTAATATTACGGACTTCGAGTTTTTACTAGGCTTCTACATAACGTGACTTAAGCTGATCCAATAACTGCTGACTCTTTTTAATTAGCAGTGTTTACGATTTAGAAGTTAAAAGTTTACTTATGCGTCTGAGACTTCTAGGATGCCTATGATTCATTAAAGTTTTTTTATTCCACCAAACCGTGGCGCTTAAAGAATATCTAAATTCGAGCGAAAGGTAGATAAAAATGCAAAGTGAAGTTACGTTATTTTCCTAATTAGAAGGTTCACCATCCATTCATATTCAGGTAGTTTTGGATTTTTGACGATTTACTGGGGAACTCCTGTTCTACAGATCCCTATGCAGTCCCACTCAAACGAAACTCCTCTGCTGGCCAATAATCGAGAATTCAAAGAAAGGACCAAACTGTTCGTCACTTGTTGTGTCACCTAACTGTACTAATAATACTAAGATAGAGCTTACTCCCATTTATATCATTGCTGTTACTACCATTACTTATCTTCTCCGAACACCAGTGCCGTACTACCAGCTACTGATTTTGGTGTTATTATAACTACAAAAACACGAAATTAAGATTCTGTTGCCACTATCAAAGCCATAGTAACCTAACACGTATTTGAAATACAGTAGGTTCCGTCAAGCCTTATTTTCGCAATGTATTAAAATGTTTTCCGTATTATTGCTCACTCCGCAAATGGTTTAAATGGCGCTCCAATTCCCAGAGAAGTCTAAAATAAAAAATATCATTATAAAAATAATTAAAGACGAAGCGAATAGGGTTGCTTCACCCTTTTTCATGAGCAGACGCAGGAGGACTAAATTTTGGTTTTATTTCAGTTTAGAAAATGGCTCATGTTGAGATTCCTCGGTGGCTCACCATCCTTCACATCTATCTGCGCTATATACTTATAATGATTTATCCCATTATCCTGTCGCCAATCCTCATCTTACATCCTGGAACGGTGAGTTCATGACAAATAGTTTACATTTTTCAACTTTCCCAATTCACTAGACATGTCTCAGTATGGCCCTGCCAAACATGCAAATTTAAGTAAACCCGTTTGTCGGCTTATTACGAAATACTGTTTACTCGCCTAGGCTTGGTTCCTAGGCTTTTTCTCATGAATTTGCAGTTGTGGCAGATTGTGCAGGCAGAATAATTACTGATATTTATTCAGAAATTGATTTATAGTTAATCACACGACGTTACTAATAAAGTTCTTGACAATAACCTAGCAGAAAAACAACCAACTTTTCAAAAGTCATGGGGAAAGATGCTGAGATTAGAGACTATATAACAGATCAGGGGTGTTAAATGGCTCTAAAAGGCCTATTGGAATTCCGCATACTCTGTTGCAAGTAAATCTTCCGAAGCCCAGTGACTCCAACGTCGCTATTAAGCAGTCCGACGTTGTGACTATCCGCTGTGTATTTTTCAAAATACGACGAACATCCAAGGTTACCAGGTATATTCATCAGACAACTGCCAACATTTGTGCAAATGGTACCTTAAACTAACTCTGAATAAGGACGTGGATCTCAGTAAAAAGAGCGGACATAGGCGCCCAAAATACTGTTCATAAATAACTATTATCCTGCAGTCTTTATATTTTGAAGGGGAAATTTAGTGTATGGGTGAATAGTTTTGTTTAAAAAACGTCTCAAATACCCGTAAGCCAGCTATAGACGTTAATCAATCGGAAGGTATCTTATGTGCGAACTTCATATAACCCTTCCTTAGGGCAACGACCTCATACTAAATCGTAAATAACAAGGAATATAAACCCATTTATGATGGTAGTTGAAACATTTCTGTGCAGTTTGATAATAATTGCTTTTTCGAGATTATTTAGATATCCGACTACTAAGCAGCGTTCCGACTGAAGAAGTTCCTGACGGTTCATTTTCAAAGTCTGTATTTTGCTATGTACATGCTTCATTCTTTACTGATTAGGCTTTATAAACGTGGTTTTTCGAGGACATACAGTTTTAAAAAGCAATCCGGACAAAGAAAGGTTTATAGAAACATCAATGTGGGCATTTTCCTCTTCACTACACAGCAAGACTCCATGCATAGATCGAAGACATGGGGCTTAAACTCAAACGTGCTGTGAGTCACGATTAAATTAAACGCTCTACCAGGGATACACTCTCGACCACTATCAGAACCGCACAGCCTGCGTTCATCCATCCATATTACTTGCAGAAAGGAGCCGGAATAACTGTCTTTGCGCTGAATATCCGCTTTAAAGCACTTACAGATAGCCGTACTGTTGCGAGCAACTTTTAATCGAGCAGTGTTGATAACGAATTTGGGGAAACTGAAAGAGTAAGTTCCGACCAACCATACCACAACAACATTCAGCGAGCGCCAATATTTTGAGTTAGTTTACTGTCCATGACGGTTCTAGCACATGCCAGCCGGATGAAACGGAATCCCCCGAATTCCATCCCACGATCAGGCAGATCAATCCGCTCCACTTCCACACGGCCGTCAGTGTAACTTTTTTGACTTGCGTATTTAAAATCAAAAAGTAGAACATTTTGTGTGGCTTTTTGTCTTGAAGGCCATACGTCTGTTGGCCGTGAAACTCCTTTGCGGCCAAGTTTGCACCAATTTGATATTCCCACTGGACGGATGGTTTTCACCTGGAACGGGACAGTGACCGACTTTTCTGGCCTTGAACACGAATTACCCTGGAAAGCGCTCAATTCATCCTTCGAAAGTTCTTAATTCAGGTTTTAACTAGCTTGGGAACCGCCCTTATGAATGAAGAGCCAAAATTGACTTAGTAAATTACGACACAAAAATCTCACCCTGTGTGTTCCATTTCCGAAAGACTGGCGAATAAAGGTGCTCTTATAGTTGGATTTATGCAGTTTGCCACTGCAATTGCGGTTTGACGTTTGTCTTTTGAGAGATCACCTCAGCACTCTGTGTATTGCCTATTTTATCTTCGTAACTTCCATATAGGAGTCGAAGGCAGCGTATATTCTGCTCTTAGTGTGCGGTTTCTGGGTGAGCGGTCTCATACCCCTCTACGTGACCGCGCTCCTTCCCCTCGTCCTTGGGCCTCTGATGGGACTGATTCCCAGCGCCGTCATAGCCAAGGAATATTCGTCGGTAAGTAAGCGCTAAAATGATCCGTTAATAATCCAAAAGATGCCAAAATTATTCTCAGAAGTCGTTGCTGCATCTGACTTCTTGCTATGTCCTCTTCTTCATGCAACTTCTTCACAAACACATGTCGTTTTGTCAATGCAAACAAAACAGAGCTCCACTTTCTTGTTCCTGGGCGGTATGCTCCTGGCTATCGCGGCGGAGAACATGAACTTGCATCGACGAATCGCCGTCGCTTTCGTGCGCTGGATGGGTGATGATCCGAGATTGTAAGCTCATGAGTTTGAGATGCTGCTAGAACCAAGCGTTAAGCACACTTGTGTATCATTTGCATTAATGTGGATTCGTCGGTGAAGGTTACATTGTCCGTTTACATCTGGGCAACGTTGTGAAACCGGGCCGTATTTTGATTGATTACGCTAAGAGACCATGCGTTTTGAAGGACATTACATCACTGACTGTCTTTTTGAAGAAGTGGGCACGGTCGCTGGAACAAAAACTTTATTTGCTCAACTTTTTGGAGTCCTGCTCAAAACCATCATCTGAGACTACATCAGACACGCGTGGTTTATATACATGGAGCTGCAGTATTTATAGGATTCAGTCACCATGCTGCCGCATACCTAAAAAAATTCACGACTAACCCTCTCCTCCTTCATTAGCGGTCGTTGCATTTGGTAGGATTACTGTTCAGCGGCCGACATTCGAGTCGGCAATTTCATCAAGTGAAATAATCCTTGATGAGGGGGGTAGCTGGGAACTTCCATAGGTATGCGTTAGCATGGCGACTGCATCATATAAATACTGCGGCCCCTTGTGCATATACCATCCGTATCTGCGATTGTCTTTGATAATGGATTCGAGCAGAAATACGAAATTTCAGGCGAATAAAGTTGTCGTTCCAATGATCATGTCTCCTTCTTTGCGGTTGCCTCCTAGAATCCACTTCTCCGCTCCTATTGACTGAAATGTTTTATTGTTTTGAAGAAAGAGACACGATCGCTGTAATAAGAGCTTTATTCGCCTGACGTTTCGGATTCCTACTCGAACCCATCATCAGGGACAATAGCAGATACGGGTGGTTCATGCACAAGGGGCTGCAGCATCTATAGGATGCAGTCGTTGTTTGTTATGATCGAATGCTATCGAATAGCACAACCATAGATTGTTGACGTTACTCTTGTCTTGGCAACGTCCTCTCAGTTTGTCATGATATCGCCGACACTGTGTTCGTCAGGAAGTTATATATGAGAACAAACTTTCTTCTGACGGACACAGACGATAAAAGAGCAAACGATAAGTTTCGGTGAGGAATTGATTTTCCTACCAGGCCGTTTCCGAGAATGATGATTAGTCCTGGGGTGATGTTAACGGTAGCTGTGGGATGCCAACAAAGAAATACCAGTCAGACTTGCTTTAGTGGGTCACCTATGGCACCCACTGTCCCAAGTTAAATACTTACGCGACTGAGGCTGTTCTTGATGAGTCGAAAAACGTCTGAGTAAACAATCAGACCCTGCGCATCTTTGCATGATCCATTTCGAGGTTGCTTAATTTTAGTAAACCTTACAGCTATATGTCGCTTTTACACAAATACAATACTGGCGTATTAACTGGTGAGCCGGCGCCTTAAACGAAATAGCCTACTCATTGGGTGGACAACAGTGGAGCTTTTTGAAAAAAGACCATTTTAGGACAGGCTATACGCGCTCTGTTGCAATTAGTTGAGCAGTTTTCAGCCCCCTTTCGAGGCTGAAGGGCCTTTAGCAGTTGCGATACTAAGGAGGGGTTATGTCACATTTGCTGCGCTCGTTAAAATGACCCCCGATGTACCATTGATGAGGTGCCCACTATTTTACCACTTCTAGGCTGATACTGAGCGTTATGCTTCCAACCTGGTTCCTCTCAATGTGGATGAGCAATACGGCCACAACTGTGATGATGGTTGCCATTGTGGAGGCGCTACTAACAAAACTGGACGATGTCACTGCAGGTAAGTAGCGTTGTTAAATGCTGAAAACAGTCGCTGTAAAACAAGCTAACTTTGCTCCTTGTTGGGGAATAAACCCAGACCTGTAAGTCTTTTTGTTCCCCCTACAGTTTCACCAGAAGGAACAGACCCAAACGAGGCAACTGGGTATGCTTCAAATTACTCCTAAATTTTAAAATAATCTGAAATCGCGTGGTAAGATTAAAATGACTCCATTCCGATTTTAGCGATGAGAGCAAAGGCCGGAAGCGTCTGAGACGCTTTGCCACAGGAATCAGCTTGTCCGTCTGTTACGCCGCCAGTTGCGGTGGAATCGCTACCTTGATAGGTTCACCACCGAATATCATCTTTTACGGTCTTGCAGTCAGGTAAGAAGACTTTGGTGCGTCGGAGTCTCCGCTTTCTACCCGTTTGCATCGACAGAGTTGTGTGCTGCTAGTGTTTGGCTGGGGTACAGTGGGGTTGATACTTTATAGGGCCAGGTATAAATGATCATATGATGTTGTTCGACGAGATGACGTCATTCCTTTGCTGATTTCAGCCGATTTGGAAGTGAAATTCCGCTAAACTTTGGATCTTGGATGGCTTACGGATTCCCCATGTCCCTGCTCTGCCTAATTTCTGCTTGGATTATCATATGCCTACTGTTCCTCGGACCCAAGTAAGTCTACACAGTGGACTAAGTCCACTGAAGAATTCAAGATCAACTTGCATTTTTAGAGTTTCAATATCAAACCTACTTCTGTGTCATTAAGGGCCTTTTTCAAATGCGGTCGAGCTAAAAAGAGCAATCCTTCAGATGAGTTCCAGGAGGAATTCTATAAAGATCCAACCTCGGCAAAAAGCAAGGACAAGCTGGAAGAACTAGAACGCGCCGCCGAGCAGAAAGACGATGAAGAGATCTCATTCGATATTGTTGCTATCGTTAAAAAGATTTCTGAAGAAGAACGGCGAGTCCTAGGTCCCATGAAGTAAGTAATCAGGGTGAAAGATTGACTGAAGCTGAGGTGGTCAACCTCATGTTAAGGTAGTTTTTATGTGTTGCTTAATGTTCAGCACCCACCTTCAGCCCGTGTTACATTCATTCATTGTCTCTAACATGTTGTCCAATCAACTTACGGTGCTCATTTCTGAGCTAGGTTTGGCGAAATAGCCTGCACGATCTTATTCCTGTTACTGATTGGCTTGTGGATTACACGGGAACCCGGTGTGCCCGGATGGTCGCGTTTCATGCCAGTTGGCAACGATTCAAATGGCAAAGTCGTGAGGTACGCTCATTTTACCCCCGCTCAATTAGTCTTTTATTTGCACAACAGCACAGACGAATGCAAGAGCCCTAAAGCATTTTTATTCCAGTTGTGGAGTAAAACAAGCATATACGACAGAAATCTTCGTATCTATATGCTTAGCGTTCCCTCATAAACTGTGTTATGTTACTTCATAATATAGATAGAGGTTGGTCACTGCACAGCAGCTTAAATGTTCTCTCGAATCCAGTGGGGAAATTACAAGGCCCTCGTTCAGTGGACACAGGCCATGCAATGATGTGGAGGCATCTCTATACACGATTGCATAAAGGAAAAAAAAACAGTAGGGCAAAAAGTGGAGCGGGGTTTAAAGAACTGGGATTTACCACATGTTTTCGTTATTTGCGTAAGTTCGGTTATCCCCCGTATGCGGTCTGCTTCCAAGTCTGCTTTACGCACGGGGATGTCAGTTGAAAATTTCAGTCTTGTCTATAAGTGACAGTTATCAATACCGCCACGTCCAGACTGTTCAATCAGAAGGTCCCTAGCCTGTCCTAATAACAGACCAGTACGGCGAATGCAACCCACCCGAAGTTGTCATTATTCCTGATCGTAGTCGCCGCTCGCCTGTCAGACCGCCGTTCTGACCGAACAACTGAAGCGGATTCAAATTTGGGGTCAAGGTTTTGATGCAGCTGGTCGGTGGTGGAAAGTAAACACTAAACCAACATTAGGCCTCTTTTTTATTACTGATTATGTGTAGTGAGGTGCATTTTAGGGTAATAGGCAATGCCCATGATGACCCTATTGAAAACAGTACATAAAATATAAATGTTAAATATACATTTTACTAATATATTGTCAGTAACATATTTGTTCACGGGAAACGTTTTCACGGTGCGGGACTGCGAAGTGTGCGGCAGGCGGTCTTTTCAGTGTGCATATGAAATTTTAAGTGCAGTTATATATAATCGGCATAAAGTGCAGTCATTAGCATAGTTTGGGAGGGAAAATCTCATTAAAAGTCAGGGATGTGTTAAGCAGAGATGAAATCATGAAATGAAATTTATGGCTGGCCGCAGATAGTCCTGTAGTGAGAGTCGTCGTTTATCAAAGATCAAACGATCCAGCTGCCTTTTGAATACATCCATTGTATCAGATGTCACAATTTCACTTGGGACTGAATTCCATGGTCGAACAACACGCTGGCTGAAGGAAAACTTTCTCGTTAAGCGACCGCCAGTGTGCACTCTAAGCTGAGATTCCAAACTCAATGTGCCACCCAGAATCATTGCTATGGTTTAGTCAGAGTGGGCGACCCCACGTTGCTGTGACATCAAATGTTTGATTTAGCCGGGGAAGAGTTACCACATTTTAATAAATGTTGCTATTTCCTTGAAGGTACGTGGACGACACTCAACCAACCATCCTCTTTGCCATTTTGGCTTTCATTGTCCCCGCCTCAAACCCCTTCCGTCTTCGTGCTGATCCAGATGAAACAGGCAAGTGATGGCTTTTAGAGAATCTGGTTGGCCTCCTTCTTGAGGCTGGGAGATGTGCTAAAATGCCTCGTTGGCCGTGGACAATTTTTATTCTAAGTGCTTTTCGAAGATGAACATCAACAGCACCCAGGCCTAACACAGAACTCTATCCCCGAATGATTTAGAGGTTAGATGATACTTGGTAGCCCTCCTGACATCGCAAACTCCCAGCTGCCTGTCAATCGGGAGCGGTGGTAATAGGGGCCATACGGGTAGAACAATTGAGTGCACGGGTAAATGGCGATTGTAGTATATGCTAGGAATTGATGCTCCAGGTAAAGTGGAAGCCTAATTTAGATTAGGTGAAAAATACAAGGAAGGTATGGAAATGAGCAAGGAGACTTTGAACGGTGTGCGGAATAAATGCATCCTAGCCTCAGATTGGACAGAAAAGCAAGTGATGGCGAACAACCAATGTGAAAAGGGCAACTGGTCCGAATGTCATTCCGCAGTGTGTGCGATAGAACTCCATCCAACATAATGGAAAGAAGAACACGAGAGTCAAGCAGCGGCACGCGGGACGCCACAAGGTAAGCCGGGTAAGACTTTTATGCGAAAAATTGGTTTGTGGGGAAGAGAAAATCCGCAAATAATGAGGCAGTCAAAAGCTACCTCTTCTTATGAAAGTTGATGTAGGGAAAGCCTCATTGTCATCGTTACCGGTGCCAATCCACCCAGGATAATACCTCCACAATGAATCTGGTACAGGTAATACAGCGTAAATTTAGAAGCATAATGAGAACGTAATCATAGCTACTGAAATCAAGCCAGTAGGTACAATTGTGGATTCTGTGGGCACGGCAGCCAACAACCTCTTCTAATGAAAGTTGACATAGGGTAAGCCTCAATGTCATCTTTACCGGTGCAAATCTGCCAAGGATAGCACCTGTAAAATGAATCTGATACAGGTAATACAGCGTGCGCGTGAATTAAGAAGCATAATGAGAACGCAATCGCAGCTACTGAAATCGAGACAGTAGGTACCTTTGGGGAGTCTGTGGACACGGCTACCAACTATCATCTTACCGATTTATAATTTCTGGACTTCTGAGGTGAGAATGTAAATGAAAATGTGGTGCTCACTGCAGGATTCGAAATGACAGGGTAGAGACCGATCTCTGTTATGTTGCGCGCAATCTAAGATAATGCATGAAGCAATGGGCGAGTTGCGTATGAGCCACTTATACTAGCCTCCATTTCGCCCGGCTTTGTTTCTAAGTGGCGGTGACCAAATTCTTGGTCGGAAGGTATGCCAATTCAGTCATTTTCTTAGCAGACCTCTGACTGGCTGAGCTCTTTGTAGCCTTATAGTATCATCCAGATTTTGACCACGGTTGTCGGCAATAATGCGTTTTCCAAACCCACACTCAGGTGGACAGATTTTTGGGGGGTAGCCAACTATCGCTGCTGTGAGCGGTCTCTCAAGGTATGAGCGAGCGTCTGAGTCATGTGCGCCAAGTCTAACCAGCCTGCGGAAGCTGCCTCATCGGCAGACATCACTCTGCCTCCATGCTGGAGGACTGAGTATTGCATTGCCCAGGACTTCATTTAACCAGTAGGGCACGTGTGCCAGGCTGCGTCAATTCGGGTAAGCAGGATCTCCTGCCACTATGAGAGTAGAAGGCCATACATGTAGTACTTCAAATAGGATACAGGGTTGCGTTCGATGCTGGACATGGAGGCATGAGCGTGCTCCCTCAGTACTTTTCCAGGTGGCGTTGAGGGTATGCCAGTGAACACCTCAAAATCGAACCTAATATATCTGCGCACAGAAGGGGCGCCATATTACTGTGCTTCAGAATTTCCTCTACCACAGACCAGCCAAGGGAAGGTTAAGGAGGACTAATCAGGATTCGCCAAATGTATAAAACTGACAGTCACAAATGCGGCGCCCCAACAGTAGTTTTGAGACACTGTCAAAATTGGGCGGGTAACTTGACCCAAATGTGATTAAACTCGCGTTCTCCGGTGGGGCCTCGTAGCTCAGGTGGCTAGAGCGTTCACAGGACTAAAGCCTTCCCCTTGCTCTCGTGGGTTCGACTCCCACCGAGATGCCGCGTTTTTCACAGTTGAGTCAGTATGAATAAGTATAGTTGCTGCTGGAGTGAAGTGGTTCTTCTTCCGCCAGTCCTTTTTACTTGAATGAACAATCCTAGCTTGTGTCGCCCAGAATATATGCTGTCTGCTGCGTCCGACCTCTTAGGGTTGCGTTGGGCTGGTGGGATGAGGAACAGCGTGTTTCTACTCACACGTAGACATTCAAACCCGTCTGTACTGAGGAAGGCAGTTGCTTTCCTAGCTTGGTATTTTCACCCCGGCATTTGTTTAGCTATCAGTCGACGAGATCGATTGCTCAATCATCAACCACGCCATGCTACCTACCCCTACTCAGTCGATATTGCCGAGAAGACATTGAAAAAAAAACGATAAAACTCCCTGATACTATTTTGACATTTGTTACAGATAAGAAGGCCCGCAAACGAATAAACCGCAGCATCTTACCCTGGAATGAGGCCAAGAGCCACACCAGTTGGGGTGTCCTCATTCTCATGGGAGGAGGATTCGCACTGTCTAAAATTGTTTCAGTAAGTTGTCTTGAAAAACTACTCAGCCTCCGGCTCAAATGACTACTTTTTGTGAGGTTTCGTGCACAAAACGCAGCGTTGGCTTTGTTTTGAAGCAGCCGAACGCTTCAGTACGAATCCAGTACGAATCCTGATGACGTCCGAAATGGAGAGCGACTGTCGATTCAGTCACAGTTTTCTCCATCAGCACAGTCGGGGTTAAATCCCAACTTCTAATAGAACCTTACAGATTTGAAACCCTTTTCTGGACTCACGAATTACTTAAGGAAGATGCTTTGGTGCTTTAAAGGTAGTCTGTAATCGCAAAATTTGCTAGTAATTCTTCTACCTTGTCCCTTAGCCAATAGAAGGACGTTGCTTTGTAGAAATTCCCATTTAGAAACAGAGAAGCATGTATAAGTTTATTCTGTGGCCATGTTTTCTCGCCAACCGTCCCAGGAAAGTAGGCATATGAGCTTCGCCCCCCGAATAATTCTCATCAACATTGTGGCCGAGTATCGTATCGTGCTTACGCAACATACAAATGCGTTTTCAATAAGTGCAATGACATACAGACATTTTGGCACTAGGAGACCGAATTACCAATAACCACAAACCTAAAAACTCCGATATCGCCGAATATTTCTTATTTCCGATTTGTAAATCGCATGCCGGGGCTGATAGTTTGAGCATTTAGCTCTACTCACTTACCTGAGCAATACTCATGACTGACTGCTCTAGTCGCTAATTTCTTAGCTCTCGCTCTGTCCATCACCATGCAGACTGATCGGTTGATGAGCAGTAAGCGTCTGTTAATCGGGTTAAAAATCTTTGTTTCTGTACAAACATTCCGTCAGTTTTGCAGCAAACGTATGAGGTTTTTGCAGGCAGTCGGGATGTCTTTCTCACTTGTGACTGAAATAATGTGGGTTCTTATGCAAGACTAATACTAATCTCTCTGAAGCATATGGGATAGACTCTCGCCACAGACTCCTGCACTGCCGTCCGGATGACTGCGTAGCAGTGCTGACCAGCTACCATCAGCCCTCTCTCTCTCTCCGCACTCACCGACCGACAGACCTTTTTTGTTTTTTGCTCCCCTAGGTCGGTGGTCTGTCAAAAGTTATAAGTGGAACCCTGGAATTTGTCCGATCAGTCCAGCCATTGGGTCTTGTCTCCCTGATTATTTTGTTTGGGGTCGCCCTGACCGAGGTAGTTTCCAACTCCGCCACGGTTACAATCTTGGTTCCCATCATATTCGACTTGGTAAGTCCAAAAAAAAGTATTTTGATCACATGTCGTGTGTTCTCCATATTATGTTAGGCATTAATCCAAATAGACATTCACTTACGGAGTTTGCAGATGACGGTTGTCCCCCTAGGATCATTACGGATATCCAGAAATTTGCAATTGATGCTTTGCCGGCAGTGATTTCTGTTAATTTCTCCTATAATTTGCCAGAATTTGATCGGGCAGCAAAGGACTAGAAAGGCATGATTTTATACTCCCCACACTTAACCGAATTTTGCCCACAAATAACTTAACTACGAATAAACTTTTATTTTAGGCCAAGTCGATCAATGTTCATCCGTTTCTACTTGGCCTTCCACTGACCGTCGCAACGTCGCTCGCATTTATTATGCCCGCGGCCACTCCGCCAAATGCAATCGTCTACTCCAAGGGGCGCGTCAAACTCCTTGACATGGTACGCACTGCAACATTGAGCTCATGTGCTTCCAAATGGGTCTCTTTTCTTACGCGTTGTAAGAAATGATTTTTTCTTATGCATCCGACAACTAAGGGCCTTTAAAAGGACTTATAGATAGTATATCAGTCAGTATCAGTCAGTATATTTGGAGTAAACGACAGAAGCCCTGAAAACTCTATTTAGAGGGTACAGGTGTAAGGGAAAATCGTTAAATTGCAAAACTGTTGCTTGCAGTTGTAGTAAGCAGAATTCATAAGTCTAATAATGTAACATAAAGGCGAAAGGGGCATGCCATTCGCGAAATAATTGCGAAAAACTTTGTTCACCGCATTCGACTGTGAAAATTTCCATGTAGTCCAAGTTTAACGCACAAAAAGTATCTGTTGAAATCCTGTTAGTAGTATATTTATAGTCATTTCAGTAATCCCTTAGATCAGGCTTCGGGAGTTCGGGTTGCTTTTCAGCAGGTGAGTATCCAGTTGTCTCTTGAAAACGTTCACGGCAGGGGAATTTACAACATACTCCGGCAAAGAGTTCCATTGACGAATGACCATCTGTGAGAAAAAGAAGGAACGTTGATTTGTGTGGAACAGTTCCCTTTTAAGCTGGTAATCATGTCGTCTGAGATTAGACTTGGGTGCCATTTCAAAAAGCGTTTCCCAGTCGACAACCAGATTAACTTCTTTTACCAACTGGA